GAGTCTTTTCTCTCTCCACTGAAAATGCTTCCTTAAATCTCCTGTGAGCTCTTTATATACTTCTTGATCGTTCCTTGTGATCTCCCCTCCTTTCTTCCTCGGCCTGATTACCTAGTCCTTGACTGTTGTTTTTTTCCTGATGTAGTTGTACAACAGCTTTGGGTCAGATTTGCTTTCGATGCTGTCATTCTCCTATTGCCGCTGGGCCTCCCAGTCCTTATTCATGCATATTAGTTGCTGGCTCTTCGACTAATCTCCTTATTTTTCTGGGTCCTTTGTATACTATACTTTTTTTCATTCTCTAGCGCACTTAGTTTTGGCCTCTATACCTTTGGGTGAACCAAGGGCTCGTTCTAGTTATCCCATTATTTCTGTTGTCTGTCTCTGTCGTCTGCACATATTCTGCCTGTAATCTGTTTTCGTAGCTCTGGCTTGGTCTTCAGGATCATCATTACTCTTATTCTCTTAGAGGCCAAATAGATGTAGTATTCCTCAGTGGACTAGGAAGTTTGTGGTAGGTACTTTAAATAAAGATTCTCAAATTTATTCTGGCTTTCTTTGCTTTAGTTTGTAGCATTTAGCTATGTTGCATTGCGTCTGAAGTTAGTTAATTTCCCAGTAATATATTCTACGCTTTCTTTCACTTGCATATAATTCAGTTTTCGATTTTTTATATTTTGGTCAACAGATTTGTGATCCTTGATACTTCCTTGTCATTAATCTCCAAGGCCCAGCTTAAAGATTACCTTTGATGGAAAAAATTATCACTCGTTATAGAAGTGAGGTGGTAGTTAATATTTTCATAATGTTACTAGCATTTTAGGCTGTAGACGAGATGTGTGACTCAAATTTGACTAAAAGGCAAAAATCTGAATGAAAATCATTCAAATTTTTTGCCCTAATAGGGATTTACTATACTAAATGAATTATGTTCATTTTAATCGCTAATGGAATGCAAGCCTGGTACCTCCGGAGTGAATGAAGTGCTCTTCAGTCTAAAAGATGAATTTTAATACTGGACAATATACGTGGAGGACTATTGGATTAGATTTTAGATTCTGCCACAGAAGTGGCTACTTTATTATGCACTCCATATCCATCCTCCGGACAATAGAGCAAGTGCTTATGGATACACACAAGGCCTAGGAACTACACCCCAAAAGGGTTAACAGAAGTAATTGGTTTTAGATCTACAGTTAACTTGTTTGCTGCTGGAAAATTTATCTTATTTTCGTTAATAAGATATTTTACCTTTCACATAGATTATTATACTGTCTCTATTTCTCAATAAGTGGACAATAAGCAGTGTTCAGTGACCATAGGGCTCGCACTTTTTGTATTTGGAGTGATCATGTTTGTCTACATTGCCAGAAGTACTTTTAACCAAGCCTAAGCCTGGTTACTACATTCCTACAAGTTTCATTATTTACTTCTCTCCCAGTGCTAAAGACAGATACACTAAAGTTATATTCTGCATTTGCCTTTAGGGCACTATTTTTTGGCTAGTTATTATATAGTTATAAACTGAGAATTTTCTTTTGATATTTAGGTTATTTAATATTAGGATGAAGGAAGGGAATATAGAACCTTCAGTTATGATAACAGGAATGAAAATTTGACTAGTTCCATACATAAAGCTCTTTCTCAGTGTTAGCTGATGTTTAGTATTCAAAACTTTTATACACTACCACTAGTGTTGAAAGGTGCTTAATAGATCTAGTATGTTGACTGTTAGAAAAGTTAAATCTAAAAACTACTCTACTGTTCAGGAACACTAGTTATTAGTTTACACAATAGTTCTCATTAAATTACACAGCATGTTATTGAAACAAATGATAGTGTCGTACATTATGTACAAAAATGACTATACTTTCAGATTCGATTCCTGAATGTCTCTGTAATTAACGTTATTGCGTTACTCTTGTCATCACCGTAGCAACGATGTCCATTATTCGACCATAAACAATATGAAATATCAGAGTTCAAATCTTTTAACTGTTTTCCTCAGAAAAGTACCCAACCTCCGCTTGAGTTTTGGCACCCGTGACGGTGTCCTCTGGTTCAAGGAGACAACTCAGGAAAATATAGACTTTGAGGTATGTTTTTAAGTGTTCAGCTAGTTCAAATTAATGTTTTATTTATATTTATTTAAAAGAATGTCAGACCCTGATTAATATACCGCTCAACATGAATATAAAAATATTAATTTACCACTCAGCCTGCAGGCTCAGTAGTAACTCATCAAAGAAAGTTTTGTATAAAATTCGTTGGTTAGTCTAATTGAATCTTAATGGCATAAAAAAAAGCCCACCCCTCCCCACCCTATGCTGCTAACGTGTGCCTCTCATAAATCAAAATGGATGCTCTTAGGGGCTAGATATTGTACTTAGATACTATGTGTATAAATGATTTAGAAAATTGAAAAGTTGAGAAATGAGACTTTTGCCACATTTGAGTATCTTTATTCTTTCCATAATAAAGAATAAAGATACCGAAATGTTGTACGTGTCGTTTATCTATTCTGACTGTATTCAGAAGTGGGGCAGGTGCGGACCGGCGGACAGTGCTCCACCTTTGTGGTTAGTTCAGGTTGGTGTGTGACTGCCAGATCTACTTAGGCTAGCTCTTCTCTGCTGGCCTTTCTGAAGCCTAGAATTAGGCACTGCACAGGGGCATTGAATAGGCATTTCACAGGTGCATTTCATTTCAGATTCCGGGACCCTCTCCTGGATTGTGACTGGATTTGTGATGGGGCTTCAGGTGCATTTTTGTAGGCAGTGGATGAATCCCAGCCGTTCATCCCTGCGTGGTTCGTGTTTACCTTCGCTAAATTCTTGGAACATAGTTCAGTTCATGCTTCATGGATAGGTTCTTAATGATGGGTCTGAGAGGGTGGTGGTTGCTTAGCTGTGAAGACTTAGTACAGTTACCAGAGAGTCTTATACTCACTGCAGAGCTCCAGTTATTCCTTTGTTAGGTGGCTTAGTTTGCTTTTGATTCACTGTGTACTATTCCAATGTGCAGTCTACCATGGCTCGGTATGCTTCCGTCCCCTGTAGTTCGGAAGAGCCAAACAGTGTCTAAGCCATGTTGGCATCCCAGTCAAAGGCTGCTGTTCAAGCTCACTGTGCCAACATTTGCCTTGACGTCATGGGCCATATGCATATATGGAAGTAGGGGGCCAAACAAGCCCTGCAGACTAAGGAAAGTTTTATATTGTTTGCCAGGGTGTGGGTGTTCAGCCCTCCTGAAACAGGAATTCACTTGGATAGTAACCTACTGAAGATCAGGCGCATACATCTCTACCATGGCCTCGTGTTTGCAGATATTCGTCTCGCTCCGTATAGTTTGACTGCAACTCTTATTTTAAATTTGCCTTAAGTTGAAGACTTTCTGCCAAGGTGTCTTGTAGGAACTAACTTTTAAGGTCAAAAGTGGGTTTGTTTATTTGAAGAGATTTTCTAGCCTTTACATTTTTTGTATGCAGGGCTGAATAACCTGCACTGTCAAGGTGGTCCGTAAATGTGTAACTACTGTTTCTAACTTGCTCTATAATTTTCACTTCATTGTTATAGCCGTGCAGGGCTCAAACAAGAAAATAAAAGATTTGACAGGAGGTAGGTGTTTGCCCCCCCCCCTTTTTCCGAAAAAAATTGTAAAAATACTAGTTGGTGAGTTGTAGCATCCTCGTCTCCCAGGGAACCAGGGATCACTTACTTGCACCCGATAAACCTCTTAACAAGACCAGTCCCCTATTATTTACTACTGGGTTACTAATACTCCTGGTTAAATATCAGGATAATCTTAACTTTAAGATTCTGTAACTTGAAGACAAGGAGCGCGCAAAGCTCTCCTATTATAACCTGCTTCAAAGTGCCTTCTTGTTGAGGCAAAGAGGGAATTTTGGTTCTGCCCACGACCTCTGCCATTTTACTTAAAATTTATTTTATTGCTCGGATTCCGGTGGGGGGGAGACTCTTTCTCTTGTATTTGTTTGTTTTTGTTACTGCAGCTTATGTGCTGGTTCCTGGTACTTTATATTTAACTTTGTGTTCATGTTTAATTTGTATTGCCAAGAACGTTGATCTGAGACATCAATCATCTTTTTAAATTTCTCATCGCCTTCCCTCTGACCCTCAACCCACTTGCGGGTCAGTGTTTAGATCAGTGACCAAAGGACAGGAAGCAATATTAGTTGAATGATCCATACACTTAAAGCTTCATATAACTCTTAATGTTTTGGACTTTTTTTTTCCTATTTTCTTTTACGACTAATCTTATTACAGACATATTTCAAACTATTGCAGGTGATATTGAAAGATTGTGACCTGAACAGTGTGATAGCCCGTCTGAAAACATATAAATACAACTCTTCAGAGGGCCCCTTATGGTGCGCTAAGTTCCTACCCGCTGCTGCCGTTGCTAATGTTGTTGGAGAGTCAGAAACTGTGGCTGCTTCTGGTGGTACTGACTCTGGCATTCCCTACGATGGATCCACTGGCCGCTCTGCTGATACTGGTGCTGCTACTGAACCAGCTGCTATTGATACTGCTGCTGTTTGCTGCTACTGATAATGCTGCTCCTGCTACTACTAAACACGAAACCGGTTCTGGCGCTATTCTCAGCCCGGCACCATGCAATGAATTGTCATCCACACCCTCCTTGGAGGAGCTGCCTTCTACTTTTAATTCATCTTACCTCCTTCCCTTTACCCCTTCCACTGCTACACCCAGTACACATCCCCACCTTTAAGAGTTATTCCTCCTCCCCCAGAATTCTCAAATAGCACTGAGTCTTCTCAAAATTCCTACTCGGCGTCTCCAGTCTTTTCTTCAATGTCTTCAGTATCTTCCTTGCCTACTTGTTCATCATACTCATCTGTGTCTTCATCTTTCTCTTATGCCACATCAACATCACCCTCTTCATTGTTCTCATCTTCTATCTCATCGTTAACAAATTTAGACTTCTCTAGGACGGACCTCGCCAATACCGCCTGTCAATCCTTGTTACCAGGTCTTCTTCCAAGTCATTACTTGGTGATTTGGGTGAATCTGGAGGATGTCCTGTGTCAGCGCCAGTGTGTCTACCATCTGGCTCTCAGTCGACTAGCTCGACACCACATGGGCTTACTGCTAGCTCGTTATTGCATGACTTTACCATTCGGACATCACCACAGGCTCTCTCTCCACTTCTCGCTGAGGAATGGTCGCCGTGGCCTTGTACAAGCCACTTGGCTCTTGGTATACACCATGGTGTTGCTGACGGCTTCACTGCCCTAAAGATATGTGGGTTCTTCCTGCAGCTGTTAAATGATGTCATAGCTGGCACACCTGTTGATGATGAACAGCAGCTTGGAGAATTTGTCGCTGGTGAAACTTTTGAACTAATATCGGCGAGAAAAGTGGCTATAGAAAATAACCCCTCTCTGAAACAGATGTTGATGGGGAAATGGGAAAGAAAACTGAGGAAATCCGAATTGGAAGTTCTCTTCAAAGTTCCAAAAGGGTTAGAGGACCAGGCACTCCACTTGACTAGCGTCTTAGATGAATTCACTACAAAGTTACTAAGAGAGAAGTGTTTTACGGAGGATGTGACGCTTCATTCTGCCTTCTGTGCTTTGGCTACAGTCGCTTTCGTTGACCTCCTGGTGGAAAAGAATATAATTAGTGACAAGTACACCGTGTACAGCAAACACAGTACAAACATGAGAAACTATTGGAGCAGCGATTCATCTCTTGCGTTTGGCTGCCACATGGCGCCCATCAATATGTGTACCAGGATCCCGAGAGAGGTTATGCAAGATTTTTGGAGCTTTGCACGCTCTTTTCAGAGAGATTTCCACAGAGAAATGGAAAATGCGACAATGCTACAGGAGGCGGCGCTGAATGAGCTGTGTCGCTCGGATGTACAGAACAGCAGAGAGATGTTCTTGAATCCACCACCTCGTCAGACTGACTACTATGTTTCTAACATGGGTGATGTGACTCAGCTGGTGCAGGGAGGACCCCACGTACGTCCCGAGTTTGTATTGTCGACTGTATCAATAAACAAGTTTAACTTAGCCTGTGCTCACAACCTTCATACATTCAAAGGCTGCTTCATCCACACACTTGACTACGCAACACGATACATGACCAGAGAGGTAGCAACGAAGTATTGCAACAAAATATTTGAAAGATTAAATGAAGTAGTCTTATGAATAGTCAATTATTTGAAATAGCCTGATCTCTCTTCTGTATTCATAATAAAAGGAAAGTTATATCTCGTGTCTATTCGTATGCAAGTACTTTAATTTTCCATGATAGATATTTCTAATGTTCTCATGTTTAGCCTTTCTCATGTATCTGCTAAACAATTGTAACATATTTTTAAGTCATTTAGGTTATTTTAATATTTTGCTTAGTATATTAGTTTTAATTTATAAAACTGGTATTTTAGATAAAACTAATTTCCTGAAATATTAAGATTTCGAAGAAGGTAAATTTGCTTGAGCAATCATAGCAGATAATTCCAGAGCACTGAGCTTCTCTGGTTCAGATTTTTTTTTTTGTTTATATTTGTTTGTATTTGATTATTTTGTTTAAATAAAGCTTTAAATTATTTAGTCTCTGCCCCTAATGTGCATAAATCTAACATAACATTGTGTTAACGTCCTTCAGGAGGATTCCTACTGTCTGTGATCACATTCCTCTTCAAGGGGGGCTACTTGGCGTGGTGAAGAGGCTCTTAGTCTGAGGAATTAGTCCTGTCGGTCTCCTTCCTCACACCGAACCTAATTCCCTATCCCATCCTCCCCATCCTCCCCTTTTTCCTTTCCTCCTCCTCCCCACACCTCCCTTTTGCCCCCCCCCTTTTTTTTTTTTTTTTTTTTTTTTTTTGGCCTTTGGTATTTTTCCCACAGGCACACTAGTTCATAGGTAGGGGGAAGGGTACCGGGGTCCATCCCATTCCGTTGAGGTTCTTAGCGGTGGCGTAGTTTGCCGTGGGATCTGGATCACCTGGGGATGTCCCGATCCCTCTCCGGTATCCCGGAGGGTGGCTTTGGGTGTCTTTCGGGCGATGGGTGTATCTCTGGAAGCCACCTTTCGGATTCCGGGGGTGGTGGCCGAAGGAGGTATGCTTTGTGGGGGATATCCGGCCGCCCTCTTTTGTCCACCGAGGTAGCTAGGCAGATGTGAGGTTGCTATCCCAGATTGCTGGTTTACTGGCATGAAGGGTAGGGTATGGCATGGGTTCCATGCTGCATCTGCGCTACTTGCGGTGCTGAGGTCCTCTTGGGCGTGGAGGGAGTTTTTGGGCCCTTTCATTCCTCCTAGGAACTGTCCCTCCCTGGTCCCCCCCCCCTTTTTTTTTTTTTTTTTTTCTTAAAAACAAAAAGAAAAGTAACCTAACCATGGAGTCCCAAATTTATGACCCCGCTACCCCCGGGCCCCTTAGTGTTACCGCACCCTGTTCTGACCTAGCCTCGTCTTTTGGCAACTCTTTGGACACTCCTAAGGCCCCTGTACCTCTTGCCAGTGCTGTTTCCTCGCCCGCTTCAGGTACCGGGGATTCCACTGACTCCTTCGATTTGTCTGGCCTCTGCTTTCCTTTGACTATGCCTCTGGCCTCTCCCTCTATGGTGCGATGATTTTCGAATCGCCAGCCCGTCTCATGTCGGACTGACTCTGGTCCCACTTCTAAACGCCAACGACAATCTCCTGCCGATGTTACTTCGTTACCTTCCCATTCTACTCGGAAAAGACCGACACGTCATGCACTCCCTCTCCACACTCGGTTTCGGACCACACAATGGACTAAATTCTTTACTTTACGACCGACTTCTACTGCCGATCTTTCTGACCATAGTATTGGCAAAGCGCTCCTATGCCACGTTGGTAGAGATACTTCCTTTCATGCTCTTAAGAGTGGTATGTGCATCATCAGTCCAGAATTCTACCCAAGCTCATGATCTTTCTCTTTCACATATCGATACTATTCCTATCACTATCGAAAAACATTCCCTCAATTCTTGTAGTGGTACTGTTATTCTGCCCCATACCATAGTCCAACAGAATTTCCAGACATGTGGCAATGACATTCTCGAACAGCTGGAACTCCAAGATCTCCCAATTCTCAAGGTAGACACTTGTGCTCTTCCCACCCGCGGGCGAAGACGATACCCTTGCAATGTGGCTTGTTTAACTTTTGACAGCTGTGAACTCCCATCCTCTGTTCATGTAGCAGGACATCGGTTACAAGTTCGGAAGGTGATCCCTACACGGCAACAGTGTAGGAATTGCTGGCGATTTGGCCACCCAGCAAAATATTGCAGATCTATAGCCGAATGCCCAGTCTGTGGTGCCGATGACCATTCTAATATATCTTGCAGTCGACCTCCCTCTTGCCTTAATTGTCATGAGGCTCACCCTTCTTACTCTTGCCGTTGCCAGGTCTACTTAAATGAGCGGGAAATTTGTTGCCTCAGTGGCAGGTCTCCCTTATGCTATGGCAGTTTCTCATCTCCGCCTCCAAGGGAGACTACCCCGTGTTTCTTATTCTAGTGTTTCAAAACTTCCCCCCACTTCTGGGGTCCCATCTTCTGCAGCGTCCTCTGCAGTTGCCAGTCCCATAGTCACTCCTGTATCTAATTCTTTTGCTGTCCTGGGCTCGGAAGTCTCTACTTCAACACTTCAGTCTGTCCTCGATTATTCGTGTTCTCCCTCACAAACCCCGGTATCGACAAGACCTCGTACGACACCTCCTCCCAATCGTCCCTAGACTTCTCAGAGGTCCAACAAATCTCCTTTAACCCCTCCTTCCCTTCATCCACCTCCACATTTTACCTTCCCTGTCTCTGTATCTAGGTTTTCCCCTTTCACTGGCTCCATTACAAGTGTGGAGGTTCATCCTCCTTGTATTGTGCTTTCCTCCTCTGTCCCCTCCCAAGTTTCTTCCTCTTCAGCCACCTCCTGGGTTTCTGCCTCTTCTGTCCCCACCCACACTTCTCCAGTTCCCTCCACCCTTTCGCTCCCCCCCCCCTACCTTGGTACAGTCCATTACGGCTCCGATCTTTACTCAAACTCCTCCTCCTTCCATCTCCAATATTGTCTCCCATACGACGCTCTGAACTCCGAAACTCTTGAAGCAATCTCTGAATATATTGCAGAGACCAAACCATCAATGGACACTGATCCACTTTCTGTTCCTTCTCTTTCCTCTTCTCCATCTGCGCAACTCCTTTCTTCACAACGCACCATTCCTTGGCTACTTGAACGTTTTCCTTTGCCACCGCATGTGGACTTATCTAACCCTTCTAGTCCATAGGTACCCTTACCTGCGAATTTCAGGCATCTTTATCGTTGCCAATCATGGCCTATTTACAGTGGAATATTCGCGGCCTCGGGGGTAATCAGGATGAACTTCCGATGTTGCTTTCCCAGTTTTCCCCTGTTGGTGTTTGCTTACAGGAACCAAAATTACACTCTGCCGTTATCTATCCCATCTCAGGCTATAGTTCATTGTATTCTTCAGATCCTCTTCCTGATGGGACCTTAAATGAAAGTGCCCTTCTACGCAATGATATTCCGTACCATCAGCTATTTGTTCATACTTCGCTGCATTGCACAGCAGCCCGTATCCACTTGCATAGGTGGTATACACTGTTCTTTGTATCTCTCCTTCTCGAGCATTATCTATCCCGGATATTGCCTTTCTTGTTTCGTCATTACCGCCACCACTTCTGTTACTTGGCGATTTTAATGCCCATAATTTCCTCTGGGGGGGGGGGTTCACTGTTCTTGCTACCCACCCCCTCCATGTTTTAAATACAGGTACTCTCACCCATTTTGCTCCTCGGACTCGTACTCTCTCTTGCATCGATCTCTCAGTCTGCTCTTCCTCCGCCGCATTAGACTTCATCTGGTCTGTTCTCCCGGATTTACATGACAGCGATCATTTCCCAATCATTCTTGCTTCCCCTTCATATTCACCACCTCTTCGTAACCCACGCTGGCAATTTGATCCGGCAAATTGGAACCTTTACTCACAACTGTTCTTAGTGAGGTTCCTTCTTCGTCCTCCATTGATGAGCTTTTACACCTCTTCTCGTCCTCCGTTTTTAACCGCAGCTTCTCATTCTATACCCCAAACTTCAGGCAGGCATTCTCAGACATGCGTGCCTTGGTGGTCTCCTGCTTGTGCTCGTGCAGTGCGTTTGAAACTCGCTGCGTGGGGAAGGTACCGGTACAATAGAACCACGGAGAGACTTCTTGATTTTAAGCAGAAGCGTGCGATCGCTCGCCGTGTCATCCGTGACGCTAAACGCACTTGCTGGCGAGATGTCTCCACCATCACATCTGCTTCCTCTATGAGTGCAGTCTGGAAAAAAGTACGAAAACTGAGTGGTAAATATACTCCTGACCCGGCTCCTGTTCTGCGGGTTGCCGGTGTTGATATAGCAAACCCACTAGAGGTTGCCAATGAAATTGGCAATCATCTGGTCCGTATTTCTCAGGGGCTCCATCTATGCCCCTCGTTTCTTTCCTCAGTCTACCAAAGAGTTAGCACCCTTGGACTTTTCTTCTCTCGGAGAACAGTATAATGTGCCTTTTACATTTCAGGAACTGTTAGCAACACTCTCAGCTTGCCGATCATCGGCAGCTGGGCCCGACGACATTCATATTCGTATGCTACAACATTTACATCAGTCAGCCCTTGCAGTTCTATTACGCCTTTTCAATCTTATTTGGTCACAAGGAGTTCTTGCACAGCTGTGGAAATCTGCCATTGTTCTCCCTTTCCACAAATTGGGTACTACTGGACATGAAGCCTCCCACTATCGTCCCATTGCTCTTACCAGTGCAGTTTGCAAAGTGATGGAACGCCTGGTAAATAGACGTTTAGTGTAGTATTTAGAGACACACGAGTCTCTCCACTCGTCAATATGGCTTTCGTAAGGGACGTTCTACCATAGACCCCTTACTATGCTTGGATACGTATGTTCGTAATGCCTTTGCGAATAACAACTCGGTTATTGCCATATTTTTTGACCTTGAGAAGGCATATGACAACTTGGAGGTATAATGTTTTGGCCTAAGCCCACTCCTTAGGCCTTCGAGGCAATCTACCATCCTTCCTTAAGAACTTTTTAACTGACAGGCATTTCCGTGTTCGGGTTAATAATGTGCTCTCCCCGGACTTTATCCAGGTTGAAAGTGTCCCCCAGGGATGTGTTCTGAGCACAACACTTTTTCTCCTTCCTATAAATGATTTGGCCTCTAGTCTTCCATCCAATATTTGGTCATCACTATGTTGATGACTTCGCTATTGCATGTGCAGGCGCTGACTGTCACCTCATTACAGTTTCTCTCCAGCATGAGGTCGACCGTGTTTCCAATTGGGCCACCACACATGGGTTTAAATTTTCCAGTACCAAAACTCTCCAAATTACTTTCACTAGACGCTCTGTCATCTCCAATCATCCTTTATACCTCTATGGCTCCCGTATCCCTGAACGTGATAGTCAGGTTTCTAAGCCTCCTCTTTGACTGTAGGTTATCCTGGAAACCTCACATTACCTCTCTGAAGACAACTTGTCACAGCCGGCTGAACCTTCTTAA